AATGTAAGAGGTGTTATATGTAAACAATGTAGTATTTTATACTGTGTCTCTCTGAGTTTATTGCATATAAAGGTTGAATTAACCACATTAATGACTTCTTGCCAGTCATCCTCGATGTATAATGTGTCAAGGTCTCCCTCCCATTTTCGTGCAATGTCCCCGGCACCACCTGGGGTAAGAGAGTAGAGCGCTGCATAGAAAGCAGACTTAAGATGCCTGGGGTTTTCCCGGTTGACAAGGAATTTCTCAATCTCATTGAACATGATCAAGCCAGAATGAGAGAGCCTAATAGAGCCAATGAAATGGCGAACTTGGAGAAAACCAAAAAATTGATCTTTAGGGATACCAAATTTTGACTGCAATTATTGAACTGTCATGAGTACATTCTCTGTAAACAGATCACCGATCACTCTGACTCCCATGTCATGCCACAGGTCAAAGATGTTTGGCTCAACAATTCTTGTTTCTTGTAATAGGTGTCAGGAGCGAGGAGCAAAGCCCACCTCCCGAGTGGTTCCAAATTCTCTGCCACACCTTAACTGTGTTATAAATAATTGGGTTATGTTTAAAATCTCTTGATAGTCTTTTCCTATCTCCAGTTGTGAGGCTCCACAAGGAGGCAGGCTGAGAGGCCCATGAGTCAAGGCAGGGGTTTGAGTCGAGATGACCATGTAACCACTCCCACAGATAACGAGCATAGCAAACCCAATTGTACTAATAGATGTTTGGCAAAGCCAAGCCACCTCTGTTCACAGGGAACTGTAAAGCTGCGATTTTCTGTCTTGGTTTCTTGCCATGCCAGATGAATCTGGAAAAAGCTCTCTCTATGTCCGCAGTAATGTTTTTGGATAGCCAAAGGGGTAACATTTGGAGGGGATATAAAAGTCGTGGGAAAATTTTCATTTTAATTAAGCTTATACGCCCCATAAATGAAAAGGGGAGGTCAAACCACCTTTCTAAGTCCCTCTTTATTTTCCTTAGTGTTGGAGAGAAGTTAAGCCTCCACAGCTCTGTCAAGTTA